GTAATATTGACAGAGATATTTAGACATTTGTGACAGAAAAATTCTATGGAGTTTTGATGGCACCTGGTGGCTATTTGTGGTATAATGCCCTAAATAAAATCTCTCAGGAACCTCAATTTTTTTAATATCAACTTCAAATTTGGAACATAACTTATTTAGACATAAGGCTTTAATTTTAAAGCAATTTTGGATTAAAAAATATTTAGAAAAATATTTATTTTATATAAAATAAAATAAAAATGGCAGTGCATTTTCGTTACAGTAAATGTAAACTTCTTTAACTTTTTGATACTTTAATATTTTGAAATGCAGATTGCCTTCTTAAAAAAGAGTGTAACAATTTGTAACAATTTAAGTCTGAATAGTGCACTTTCACATCTATATTCAAAAATGTGGGGTGGCACTTAAAGAGTTAAGGTACGACGCTGCAGAATCTCACCTGCGCAGGTGCCGAATGATGTACTTGAGCGTGGCGATGTTAGCAGGCGGCAAACGCTCAAGGTCTGAGTCTCAAGATTCCATATTTGGTGGTTATTTTGTGATAGAAGTAATATTGACAGAGATATTTAGACATTTGTGACAGAAAAATTCTATGGAGTTTTGATGGCACCTGGTGGCTATTTGTGGTATAACACCCTAAATAAAATCTCTCAGGAACCTCAACTTCAAATTTGGAACATAACTTATTTAGACTTAATGCTTTAATTTTATAGCAATTTTGGATTAAAAAATATAACACTTAAAGAGTTAAGGTACGACGCTGCAGAATCTCACCTGCGCAGGTGCCGAATGATGTACTTGAGCGTGGCGATGTTAGCAGGCGGCAAACGCTTGAGCAGCTCTCGGAGTTTCTCCACTAAGACCAGCACTTCAGGTTCGGTTTCTGACCCACGATCCACCAGCTCTGGGCTCTTCACGCCCTCGCCGGCCTCCGAGTTCAGGCTTTCCTTGGCCAGTCCCATCAGATCGTTATACATACGGAAGGGCATGATGGGCTCTGGGAGCTGAGGAGGAGACGGAGACGATGATTGTGATGCTGCTCACCGTTACAGGAACATTTCCCTGTGTCAGGTGACTCACCTGTCTGAGGTAGAGCTTCAGCACGTTGCTGATGTCGTATGGAGACGCCTGAGAAAGCTCCACCAGCTCTTTACCGTTCTCAAACGCCTGGCACAACTTCTCCACACGCGTCTTCACTCCATTCACACGATAGATTCCCTGGAGACATGCAAAGAAAAGCATCAACCCTATAAAGTATACTCTATCATATGTGACCCTGGAGCACAAAAGCAATCTTAAGTTGCTGGGGTATATTTGTAGCAATAGCCAACAATACATTGCATGGGTCAAAACTATAGATTTTTCTTTTATGCCAAAAATCATTAGGATATTAAGTAAAGATCATGTTCCATGAAGATATTTAGTAAATTCCCTAAAACTAAATTTTTGATTAGTGATATGCATTGCTAAGAACTTCATTTGGACAACTTTAAAGATGATTTTCTCAATATTTAGATTTTTTTTTTGCACCCTCAGATTCCAGATTTTCAAATAGTTGTATCTCAGCCAAATATTGTCCTATCCTAACAAACCCTACATCAGTGGAAAGCCTATTTATTCAGCTTTCAGATGTTGTATAAATCTCAATTTCGAAAAATGTACCCTTATGACTGGCTTTGTGGTCCAGGGTCACATATGTGATGCACAAAGGCCTTTAAATGATGAAACATTGCTGTTAAACCTGTCGTAAACAATATACTCCATGCCTTCTTTTTTTTGTTATCAAGTAAAAAGCTGTTTAGTCTAATTGTACAAATGTCCACCTGCTCCACGTGTCTTTTTGATGTCAAATCTTTACTGAAGTAGATGTAAGAATAACTTTGGTAATATTTCCAGATGAACACTTACTGGACTGAAGCAGCTCAGCTTTACTTGATGATCCATAAAATTATTTTTAGAAAAATCAGAGTCAGGATCTTTTGAGGAGCGTTTATTTGTTCATCTCTCGATCATCATTGGATTGCATTCCATTATATGTTTGGATCATTTCAATCTCATCTTACTAAGATGTATTATTGGAGATATGTTTCCAGATGAACACTTACTGGACTGAAGCAGCTCAGCTTTACTTGATGATCCATAAAATAATTTTTAGAAAAATCAGAGTCAGGATCTTTTGAGGAGCGTTTATTTGTTCATCTCTCAATCATCATTGGATTGATTGCATTATATGTTTGGATCATTTCAATCTCATCTTACTAAGACGTATTATTGGAGATATAGACTGATATGTATAGCATTTTATGTCAGTATCTGCTGTACAAACCAGTTTTTCCTCCATATTCTCACTATATCACATTATATGAGCCATAAAAGCATGATGCATTGAATATAATACAAAACACTTTTTATATTTTATCTAAAGATTCTATCTAAACTAAATATTTGATCTAAACTGTTCAATTTAAAAAATATATATATTTCTTATTTATTATCTTATTTCTTTATATCTATATTCTTTATTTCAGGCCTTACATGGTTAAAAACTCTGCATATAAAGTATAAAGATGTTTATTTTTGCTATTTTACTTCATTTTTTTTCTTCAAGTGGCAGCCTAGGCGAGAATTAGGAAGATGGCATCACGAATAGCAAAGGTAAACTGACCAATCAGAATGAATTCTCTCGATCATCATTGGATTGCATTCCATTATATGTTTGGATCATTTCAATCTCATCTTACTAAGATGTATTATTGGAGATATGGACTGATATTTATAGCATTTTATGTCAGTATCTGCTGTACTGTTATAAAGATCTCATTGATTTACATTACAAGCAGCAGAATTTCATGTGTTTGTTCATATAAATATCAGCATCTGCAGCAAATTGTATTTTTGCTCAGTTTGAGTCACTGAATAAAATTCAGCTGTTTTTCCTCCATATTCTCACTATATCACATTATATGAGCCATAAAAGCATGATGCATCGAATATAATACAAACAAAAATACTTTTTATATTTTATCTAAAGGTTCTATCTAAACTAAATATTTGATCTAAACTGTTCCATTTTGAAAAAATTATTGCATAAGTCAGACCTTACAGGGTTAAAAACTCTGCATAAATCTGCATATAAAGTATAAAGATGTTTATTTTTGCTATTTTACTTCAGTTTTTTCTTCAAGTGGCAGCCTAGGCGAGAATTAGGAAGATGGAATCACGAATAGCAAAGGTAAACTGACCAATCAGAATGAATATGCAAATGAAGAAATGAGCAAATGTATCAGAGGTAAACATTCAGGCAAAAATACAGGAACAGAACAACTTGATTATTTTCAAAGCTTTCCTCTCGCACCTTCATCTTGAGCGCTCTCCTCTCGGTCTCTGTGATGCACTTCTTGATGATGAAGGGAACGCCCTCCACGTCGCCCTGCAGGACCTGAGAGAAATCACGGCCGAAGAGCTGCAGACGGCCCTGGAGCTTCTTATGGCCGCACTGGATGGCCAGAGACTCCAGACACTTCTTATGACACGCCAGAAAACACTGACACACAAACACACGTTACACTATCTGATGAGAACGAACCTTTAACTGAATCAAGCTGAATAACACTGCTGTCCTCTAGAGCTGCTTCACAGCTGAAATGGAAGCTGTTTCATAATTGAATGCATTGTTATTTTCCTGTTTATTGTATAAAGCACTATATAAATAAATGTGAATTGACGTTGAACATCAGTGATCTGACCGTACTATCCAATCACGTGATCATACATCTACAGTTTTATCGGTTTCTGTTCTATAAATCAGCTGAAATGGTCTCACCTCCTCACATTCTGCGCCCTGGAAATAAACGTAGCTGTCACATTCCCTGCACTTTGATGGCGTGCGCAGTTTGCGCAGCCGATGGGTTTTGGCAGCTTTGGACAATCCCACGTTTCTGAAAGGTCCAGTGGGCGCCACGCTTTCTGGTTCAATCCCATTTATACCTAAAACACAACAAACACCCAGACATACTCAACATATATCACTACTATGTACTACACAGAACTACTAAATAGGATCTCTTTAAAGTCTTTTTTGTTTCTCCTAGACAGCAGAGAGATTAAACAGAGAGCTAATGGAAATTTGTCTTAAATTTCCCAAAAATGACCCTCAGGCCATCCAAGATTAGGATGAGTTTGTTTCTTCATCAGGTTTGGAGAAATGCAGCATTGCATCAGTGTCTCAGCAATGGATGCTCTGCAGTGAATGGGTGCCGTCAGAATGAGAGTCCAAACAGCTGATAAATACATCACAATAATCCACATGTAATCCACAGCACTCCAGTCCATCAGTTAATGTCTTGAGAAGACAAACGCTGCGTGTTTGCAAGAAACAAATCCATCAGAGTGCAATGCCAACCAACCTCACTACCAGGCCACCATTTCCCAGAATAAGTTTCTATGACTTTGAGAAGACAAAACGTTCAGAGGCTATGAAAACACTTTCATCTTTAGCAACAACTGCAGGGTGACTTGAGTTTCTGTCTGGCCTCCAGAGAGCTTCTCCTCTAAAGTTTTAATTAGTAAAGAACCTTAATCCTTCACAGTCTAGCTAAAGCTTTTCAAGCATCCAACTTCTACAATAAGACTGCTTATTAGTATGTACTGAAAGGTGGGGTAAGCGATTTTTCAAAAGCGCTTTAGAAAACTGATTTCGGGCCGACTAGCAAAACAAACTTGCAGCCAATCAGCAGTAAGGGGCATGTCTACTCATGATGTGGAGGAGAGAGCGTTCAGTGCACAGGACGGACATTAGCGAGCCAAGCGACAGAAAGATAGAGGTGGTGGATAAAAAACAAAAGAAGGCTTAAGGCGAGAAGTAGGACCCGTGTACATATCGGATCAGCTTTCCAGCGCTGGAGAGAACTCAAGGAGCGGAGGCCTGCGATCGGATGCCGAGGTTGTTGTTTCACAGAACTAATCGTTGCCTGGGTTGCGTACGTATGTGTGGGGCGGAGCTAACAAAATAGGGGTGAGACCCCTTTGGGGTAGGGGTGTGTTTGTTTTGGTGATTTCAAATGTCAACATTGGCTACCAGAAATCACTTACTCTGCCTTTAAGGCATAAATTCAGATCGTCACTTCGGGCCAAAATACGAATCCATAATCCAAAATAACGCTTCCTCCAGTGAAAAAGTCCACCTCCTGTTGTATCTCACATCAAAATCCAGCCACATATTTGTTTAGAGCTGTTTTGGACTGTTGTAAACAGTGCTTGATCTGTGCAGATTTCTCTCCTGATTCAGACCAGACCACTTTTTCACTGGAGGAAGAGTTATTATGGATTATGGACTCTGGTATTTTAGCTGGAAGTAACGATTTGAAGTTCAAAACATCTTGATGGAAACGCACAGCTTTTTACTTCTCAACACATTAACTGATGGATTACTTGTGGATTATTGTGATGTTTTTATCAGCTGTTTGGACTCTCATTCTGACGGCACCCATTCACTGCAGAGCATCCATTGGTGAGCAAGTGATGCAATGCTACATTTCTCCAAATCTGATGAAGAAACAAACTCATCCTAATCTTGGATGGCCTGAGGGTGAGACGATTTTCAGCAAATTTTCATTTTTGGGTGAACTATTCCTTTAAGTCTCCTGCTTCTCCGATGCGTCTCTCTGTAATCTGTCACTCACTTTGTTCAAACGGGGTCATGGCACCATCTCGCTCCTCTAAATCTTCATTGGATGACAAGGTGGCTGCAGAAACTGGCCTTGAAGGTTTTGAGATGTCACCTGAGATCACAATGTTATTGTTTATAACAAATGATTTTATTTTATTACTGTAAACCAGACTGATCTGTATTTGTGTCATACCTGTGCTAGAGGTCGGGGAGCCCAGTCCACTTCCCGGACCAACACTGTCAGTGTCACTCAGGGTGGACGGCCAGGACTTATGTGCTTGATGATGGTCTCTACCTGCAAAAACAAAACAGCACACAAGTCCACATGACCACCCTATTCATTTTAAAATAACAATACAAACCAAATCACATCAAATATTGTAACTGCAATGATAAACACAAAGATTTGCATGCAGCCAGAAGGGGCGCTCACACGGACAGCAATCTCTTCTAATGGATAAATTAAGTGCATGTCCTGTGTGTTCGCTGTCTGTAAAACTGACCTTGACCTCGTCTTTGTTTAACCACAGTCCCTTCCCCGAATCCCGCCTCCTCTGCAGTGGGTGAAGCTTCAGAGCTGTTCTGCCGCTGGTCATTACAGAGACTGTTGTTACGGGTCCGAACGTGCCTGATTAAAAAATAACAACTCAATTTCCTTCTGAATTCAAAACGCCATGTTACTTTAATATTTCATTCAATTCCTGAAGCATTTAAACTGAGATTAAGCAACTGGAAGTAATTTCAATTAAACATGCAATGCAGTGAGGTCATGTGACGATATTATTATATTGTGACTATGCTTTGCTCTTGACCACTGATCCTTAAAGCAAATGATGTGTTCTAACAGGATGTCGTCTTACTGGTGGCTGGACGCGGAGTACGGCTCAAACTGGTACTGTACAGACAGCTCAGTGCGGAGCTGCAGGTTTTTGACATGCGCGGCGTACTGCTGACACGGATCGTACAGCTTGCAGCTCTCACAGAGCGTCTGGAAATGCACGGGCAGCGCTGCAGTCTGCACATGCATCGTCTGATAGTACGAGATGGTGCACTGGATAGGATGCATTAAACACAATTAAACACAACTCAAATATTCTTTATGCAAAAAAATGTATATAAATAAAATATGAATATTTAGAAATTAAATAGAAAGCAATAGTAATTGTAATAATTTTTTATAATAATAAAAATATATATAAAATATATATATATATTTTATATATTTATATATATATATATATATATATATGCACACACACACACACACACACACACACACACACACAAACATCAA